AAAGCAAAAGTATCTCTTTCCTGGAGTATTTCACTTTTGAATGCTCTGTGTGTGTGTGTGTGTGTGTCTCTCTCTCTCTCTCTCTCTCTTTGTCTCCCTCCCCACACCTTTCCTTTCTCCCACCTTCACATAAATCATCTTTTTTTATATTTTAAGAAAAGAGTCATTTTCCAAACGCACAATGCTATCTCCAGATTCATGTTGATGCCCACAGTTAAGACTGTGACACATAGGAAAAAAGACCACAAAATTCTTTCCAATCAGAATTGGTGTCAAGGTGATGGCAATGACTATGCTTTTCGGTGGAGAGTATCTCTCTTCCCCATTCCCCCCTGCTTTCTGCTTCCTGGCTGCTATGAGTTGGGCAGCTTTTTTCCACGGGAGGCCCTTCCACCTGGGTCAGGGCCTGAAGCCTTTACAAACTGTGAGTCAAAATAAACCTTTCCCTTTTAAATTGTGAGTACTGGGTATTGTGTCTCATTGATGAGAATGTGACTAAGACAAATTTTCTACCAAAATAGTGGGGTAATCTGTGGTACTGACTGAGTATGTGTTCAAAAGCCTTTGGAACTGGTTTGTAGGCAGAGTTTGGAAAGGTTTGGGGATATAGGCTAGAGAAGCACTGCTGTAAACTCAGCTTGAATGGAGTCTGGTCAAAGCTCAGAAGACCAGAATGTTGACAATAATGCAGCCAGTAAAGACCAGGCTCTGGAGCGTTCTATTGGAAACTAGAACTGCACTGGCAGTTGTATTTTAGGCCATATGTATTACATTTTAGTAGAAATTTTTTCTTTGGTACTGGGAGTCAAACTCAGGACCTCATGCTTGCCAGGCAAGTGCTGTGCTGCTGAGCTATATCCCTGGCCCTATTCTGATAGAAATTTTACATACAGTTTGCTCATGTCCTCGGACTTTGTTAAATACTGAGATTAATGGTGGTGAACTAATTAATCTGGTGAAGGAAATTTCACAGCTGTACAATGTCTAGGCTGTGCCTTGGGTGTTGTTGGGGAGCGTTAGCCAGCTCTACAGGGAGAATCAAAGGGAAATTGCATACCTGAGTAATTTTTAATGTTTTCATTTTCCCCAAGAAAGAAGCTCCTAAAAAGTTAGGGTTATAAACCTTTGGCAAAGGAGAGCTTGGGTGCTGAAAATATTCGTGTTAACAAGCAGCCACAACCAGGAATGGTGGTCTACATCTGTACTCCCAGCATTTCAGAAGGCTAACGCAGGAGAATTGCTACAAATTCAATGCCATTCTGGACTCGTAGTGAGTTCAAGGCCCACCTGAACTCCATAGCAAGACACTGCCTCAAAACAAAATAAAACTAAAAAAGTAAGCCATGTATTTTACAACATGACAGTAGAAACATCCTGAGGACATCAGAGGAAATAGCAATATCCCACTATGCTGCCTGCAAAAGTGAAAAACTTTGGTCTGAGACGAGAGGCCCAAGCTACTCTACTGGAAAGGCTGCAAGGAAATTGAATTCCCTGTGATTCAGGCTGCTCCATTCAGCCATCCAGGCAATTGGAGGCCTGTGCAACCATGATGCAAAAGGGCATGGGTACTGTTGGAGCCAGTGGTGTATGTTGGCATCCTCCATGGGGTCCTGGTTTTATGAGTATGCAGGATGCAAGAGTTGGTAGACATGGAAAGTTCCACTGAGATTGAGGAAGAAGGCCTGGGAGGCCTGGTAGTGTGCCTGTGAGGGCAGTGTGTAACGCTGTGAGTGTGAACTTGAAAGTACAGTGGAGACCTCAAAAATTTGAAGAGGCCAGAAATATAGACTGTGTGAAGAGAGGCACAAGGAGTGAGCAAACCTGGCCCAAGAAAGAGGAGAAAGCACAAGGGCTAAATTATCCACAATATTTCAGTAGCAGCTCTGCCAAAGCCCTTTGAAGTCCCCATCTCATAAGAACTTGCCCTCGGTGCTGGATGTGAAGCTATAGGCTTTAGTGTTTGCCCTGGGTCTTTCAGTCTTACTTTCTTCCCATTTGTTTCTATCCCTATATTATTCCTTTTTTAAAAATGGGAATATTTACACTATGCCATTAAATATCAACAGTGTTTAACTTTCTTGTTTAGCTTTACAGGGGCTAATATCAAAGAGTTTACTTTGAGTCTCAGAGGGGACTTTGGTTGTTGTCTTTTCAACAAAAAGATCCTGTTAAGCCTTTGGCAACTCATAAAGATGGACTAAATTCATTTTGCTGAAAGAGATTTACACGAGTCTTTTGGGGGTTAGTACTTCATGAGCTCAAATGTAGGGTTTATGAGAGGTGAGTGAGACCACTTCAGCTGGCTAGGCTTTGTGAGGTAAATGCTGGTTGGAAGACGCAGGTCAGCTTATCGTGCGTGAGTTTGCATGGTAGCCGTGCCGCGTCTCAGCATGATGTGTGCTTTTATTTTTGCTTTCACCCTTTTTCTTTGTTCAGTCCAAATTCAATCTGCAGGGCTTGTTTCTCCCATGCCTGTTTACCCCACACTTTTCAAATAAACTTGTTTGTTTTTGCCTTTTTGAGACAGGGTCTCGCTATGCAGTTCAGGCTGGCCTTGAGCTCACTTTGTAGCCCAGGCTGATCTCGAATTCGCAACGATCCTCCTGCCTCAGCCTCCCGAGTGCTGGGATTACAGGCATATGCCACTATGCCTGGCCTCAAATAAACTTTTACACTACTAAAAAAATGCTACAGGTCAGCGGTAGTGTGACTACTATTCATGTTTCCTTCATTTCCCTGTATGCTTTCCTGATCTCCATGAGTTGAGCAATTTTCCAAACTAGCAGGACTTCCACCATGCTACTTCTGTCCTAGAGCTAACTCTAGACTGAAACATCTACAAATCATGAGTCAAATTAAACCTCTCCTCCCAGTTGTTTCAGGTATTGTGTCTCAGCAACAAGAAAGTGACTAAGACAATCAATGCTTGTTTCTTCACACATTGCACTGATGTCATGAGTCCTTAAAATCCTCTTCACTTTTTTTTTTTTTTTTTTGAGACAGGGTCTCCCTATGCAGTTCTGGCCTTTACCTCACTAGGTAGGAGGCTGGCCTCAAACTCACAGTTCTCCTGCATCTGCCTCCTGAATGCTGGGATTACTGGCGTGTACCACCACACGTGGCCCTTCATTTCTTTTGAAGTGTGGTTTTTTTCTTGTATTTCCTTTTGATACTTAGGATGTTATTATCTCTGCTTGCAGTTGCCTAACTGTGCATATTTGTCATTATGCCTGCTAGACACTTAGCACATTATTCTTATTGGCCTCCTTTAATTCTATGGTCTGATGATCCCAGCGTTCCTTCTATATCTAAATTTGTTTTGGTGCTTCCTTCTCATTTTTTTTTTCCTTCTGGTACCGGGAATCGAACTCACGACCTCATGCTTGCCAGGCAGGCACTGTGCTGCTGAGTTAAATCCCCAGCCCATCTTCTCATATGTTTTATTTTGAGAAGTTCTTTACTACTGAGCTATGTCTCTAGCTCTGTCTGTTGATCCGTCTGTCTATGTGTGCAGCTCTCTATTTTATAAGGTCTTTCTATATTGCCCAAGCTGAGCTTGAACAAGTGACCCTGCTGCCTCAGCCTCTTTAAGTCCTGCAATTACAGACATGTGCCACCATGCTTCGCTTTCAACAGTTTTTAAAGTCTTGTAAAAAGTATCATAAGTTTTACTTTGACGTTTGGACCCCTTATCCTCTCTCCAAGGCAGCTTGTTTCTGGCATCTGCTTTTTTCCTCACAAATACAGTTCCAAAATAGAACTATGGAAATTGCAGCCTTTCACATGAGGATTTACAACTGTCCGGCTGGATTTACAGAAAGTTGATTTTAAAGTACATGCAATTGTCAGGAAAAATTTCTTTTGATGTCCATGATTTAATCTCTCATCATTTATAGACTATCATAATGATACTTAAAATTTGAAAATGTAGAAAGAAATTGCATAGTGTTCTTTCATTGTATTGCGTGGTTACAAAAATTAAATCTTAATGACATAGTAGTAATTTGAGAAAACATGCTGGGTAAGATGACAAGTACAAGTATTTCCAACTACTCATAATGTTTATGGAGGAGGATCAGTACTTTAAGTCCAGCCAGTGTGATATAAAGATCTTGCTTCAAGATAAAAGTTAAAAATAAAATACAGGCAGACAAGGACAAAAGGACAGGAAGAGGTAAAACAAGGACCACCGAAATGAAAGTGCATCTAGGACCCATCCCAAGACAGCCCAGGAAACCAGTTAGCTTGTGACAAGTTCTAAGTGTCCACCTGAAGGAACGGCCTCTTAATCTTAATCTGGATATATAAAGGGACAAGGATGCATGGATATCCATCTTTTTCCACACCCCTTACCCTCTCTCCAAGGCAGCTTGTTTCTGGCATCTGCTTTTTTCCTCAAAAATACTGTAAATCTTCTTCTATTCTTATACTCCAGTTCTCAATCCCAGATACCTGTTTACCCCACCCCAACAGTAAGGTACCTTGCTTCTGTTTGGTTTTTTTTTGTTATTTTGTTTTTGTTTTTGTTTTTCTTTTTGAGACAGGGTCTTGCTGTACAGTTCACACTGGCCTTCAGCTCACTTTATAGCCCAGGCTGGCAGGTCTCAAACTTACAGCGATCCTCCTGCTTCAGCCTCCCAAATGCACCACTGCACCCAGCTAGTACCTTGGTTCTGAATAAGAAGAAAATTGAAAGTTAGGAAATGATTTATAGGTTCATGGAAACTGTGCTGTTTTCCCCCTTTGAACTGTTTCTGTGTAACCTACCCAGTAACTAGTGATGGGCAGGCTGGAGACACCATTGGCTGCTGATCTGCATCCAGCCAGTCCTGGGCTCAGAATCACTCGTGGAGAATCTTGGGACTTGGTGGAGGAGGAATGGACTGGGTGTGAGGCCGAGGATTTGAATTTCTGTACAGTGCAACTGATTACAGGCTAAGGGAAGCTCTCTTACGTCTTTTGAAGCAAATAGGTTCTGGTGCTGTGTCCTTGGGCAGGTGAGAGAGAAGAGCAGCAGTTGTAAAATCTTCATCTGAGGGTCAGAGAAGAAGTGAGAGGTAGGAAACTGCAGAAGGTAAGAAAAGGAAGGGATGTGCCACAAGACCAGTGTGGGTGGTGGGTGTGGAAAAAAAAGTGGGGTTCCTGGACAGGGGAGGCGCCTCATTCCTGGCCTTACCTGAGTGGAGCAACCTGGGTCTGGCTGGATAGGAGGGCAGGTATGCACAGTATCCAGTGACAGCTGAGAAACCGGACTCTGAAGGGGGTGAACTGAGGCGGACAGAGACTCACCCGCCTGTTGCTGGCCTGTGGCTTTCTGTAGGGGCACATTCACTCATCCTTCCATCAGAGTAGGTGCCTGATCCTTGGGATGAAGGAGTCTGCCCAAGACAGAGTTGACATGTTCATGAGATCAACGTGGTCATGAGAAATCTCGACCATGATGCAAACACAGAGACCCAGTCTACTTGGCTGACTTGTACCACTCTCCCCCGCAGGCTTGATTCCTGCCACCCTGGTGACTCCGTGCTGGATGCTTATGGAGGTCCCCGCGTCTCTGCAATTCAACCAGGCAACCTCCCTCCTTCTCCCTCTCCTCAGCCTGCTTGTGCTGGTCTCAGGTAGGTCTGTAAGCCATTTGTTCTGTCCCCTCCTCAGAAAGCACTGGATGAGACAGTTCAAGTTTATCCTCCATGCAGGCCCTGGGCTGGATGGGGGAGTGGAGGAGAAGCTGTGAGAGCACAGAGGGTGCTGAGATTCTGTCCATGGAATATTAGCAGCCTCCACAGGAAAGGCTTCCCAAGTGCTGTCCACAGCTAAGGCTCCTAGTCCTCAGAAACCTCAGTCCAAGAAGCCTCCGTTGCTTGGGCAGAATTTGTCAGTCCTCTGGAGTGTCCAGTTACTGCCCTCTTAGATATTTTATGGCTCGAGTCCCTGTTTGATTCTCCTTTTGTTGAACAGCTCAGTTTACTGTCGTGGGGCCTGCTGGTCCAATCTTGGCCATGGTGGGAGAAAACATCACGTTACCCTGCTACCTGTCACCTGAGAAAAATGCTGAAGACATGGAGGTGCGGTGGTTTCGATCTCAGTTCTCCTCTGCAGTGCTTGTGTATAAGGGCAGGAGAGAGAGGAGAGAGGAGCAGATGGAGGAGTACCAAGGAAGAACCACATTTGTGAGCAAAGACATCGGCCAGGGGAAGGTGGCGGTGGTTATTCACAATGTCACAGCACACGAGAATGGCAAGTACTGCTGTTACTTCCAGGAGGGCAGGTCCTATGACGAGGCCATCATACTTGTCAGGGTGGCAGGTAGGTTACTTCGTTTTGCTCTGTTGCCTCTTCCCAGTGTGACTTCTGGGGAAAGTTTATATCCTAACCCTGGGCAATTGTAAACCAGCCAATTTTTGTTGCAGTACCTCTACGCAAGGAAAGTGGCTTCCTCTTGCCCAGGGGCTCCATGAGGAAGTTTGCTCTGCTAAGCTATGGCACTGTTTCTTGAGAAGTACACAGAACTTAGCTATGGCCTTCAGCAGGGGGAACAAGTAATTCCTGGAGATAATTCCTGGGCCTACTTTATTACTGAAACCAGCCACTTTTGAGAGGGAGAGAAGCCACATCAGTAACTGCACTAGAACACCTAGAGGAGAAAAGGACTGCCCAGAGGACTACAATGTATAGATACCTCATTTATCAATATTAATTGTTGTTTTCCTTTTCTCCAAATACTGATTGTAGTGACGATGGCTGACATGCAACTAGATCATTTCAATAAGCAGAGAAAACTTGTGCCGTGAGCTTGATGGTTCAACAGAGAAACCAAGTGAAAATTTTGCCGGGAACAATTTGGCGAGTTTCAGAACAGAAGTAGCAATGAAAATGGGATTTCTAGGAATATATTAACAGTAGATTTAAGAAAAGACTTCACTCCCTGGGGTCAGTATACGATTATTATGCTTTAAAAGAAATGTTTGAGAACTGTAAGAAGCTGAACTCATGGGGACATTTCAGGCCATCAGACCAGTGAGAGATGAGGTTTGGGGACATTGTGACTTTCTCCTGGGCCTTCATTAATTGCCTG